AAAATCCACCGTCGAAATGAACAACACACAAATCCATGTGTTAAAAGATAGAAAAACTTTTGGAAATTTCCTGCCTTCCTGGGAGTAAAGCAAAACTAGGCGTTGCAAAAGAAAATGACAAAATCCATGTGTTCTGATGCTGATTTGGGCATCTTTCCATCAAATGGGAACATGTTGCATGGTTCATGGACCTTTGCGTTTATAAACTTTTACTAGACTGACGTGCGGTTTGATCGAACACAAATATAAAATTTTATTTTTTAAAAAATAATTTAAGATGATTAAAAGATAATATCAATTTAAAACTTTCTAAATCAATTGACAACATACACACACTTTGTAGATCATAACCTCTAAAAAAATAATATTTTCTTTTACCACTGAGAGCACTGGATAAATTCAATTTTTTTTCTTTTTGTTACAAGTATAGATTTTTCCTTCTTCAAAATGGCACAAAAGATCCTATTAGATATGAATATATTCCACATTTATATTAATATTCAGATTATGTTTTTAATGCACGAACTTAATTAAATAAACAAAACTTTTGGGCAACTACATAAAAATAACATTTTCTAAGTAAAAGTAAAAGTTTGCTTCTTAAACAAAGATGTTTAATTGCTTAACTAATCCATCATTAGTAAAGAATAGTACTTTAAACTATTTTAATGAAGAATGTACATAATACTATATAGTTTAACATCAAGCAAAAGTGATCACAATCAAAGTGATTGTTATGTAGAAAAATCAATATATAATAATAATAATAACCTCGTATGATTTAAGGTATATAATATTATACGATGATTAAATTAATCTTTATCCCCCATTTATTTAAATTTACAATTTATGAAATTCAAACGGAGATGGGGACAAGAGCATAAAACAAAGAAAACTTGACAAGGGAGGATTCGTGTGAATTAGTGACACTCGTTTTTGAAAATAAACAAATCTCCAACATCAAACGTTGCTTTCATATGACATTATTATTAAGTAATGACAATATTCTATTTTGGATAAACGTTCCTTTCCTGAATAAGAATCTCGAAGTTTGCACATTGAACGGAAAATAATTAATTTTTTAAAAAAGGATAGTGATATACATATTATGACAAAATGTTATACACGCAACAAAAATTTTAAATATGGTATGCACAAGTATTTTTTTATTTAAATTCCATAAGTGAAAAAAATTATAAAATTATTAAAAACATCTTATATATATATATATATGGCAAGGAATACGTGCCATGATAGTGGAATTTAAAAATTCCATAAATTATCAAAAAAAATTTTTTTTTTATATTTAAAAAAAATCATACATAAAAGCTGAGATTATTTATATCAACGCTATAAACACACCAACATTTATCTATTTTTGTGAACTGGATTTATGTGAATATAAGAGGAATGAATAATCTATTTTTGGGTGGATGCACAAAGCTCCATAATAGAACAAGTGTATATCTATTATTTTAGAAAATTATTAAAATTAATTTAATATATTGAAGGGATGAGAAGAAAAACAAATATTTACTTGTCTATTTTTAAAAAAATTACTTCTATTTTTAATTATTTAAATCCATCGTTGATGATGATTAAGGCTATATATCATCTCTTTGGTGGGATAGATGAAATTAATGTCGGCATATGTTTGTCCTTACTAGCCACATTTCTTCTTCTTTTTAATGATGTATGTAATCATCCATTTAAATTCATCATATATTATTCTCTTTGTTAAAAAAAACATATATAAAGACAATTTATCACGATATATCAATTCAACCACCAAAACAAACTTTGGTTTAAGCCATTTGGTGACAGGCCATTGTCTTTTTAAACCATTATTTCCTTCTTTCCTCGTCAAAACTGAACTCATCTGTGCAACATTTCCACTTCTAATTGAGCATGTAGGAGGATGGCTATGACCAAACCAATCGATATGTTTATTTATTTATTGAGACATTTTTTAATCATAATTGTTAAGATAATATATCTCAAAAGAAGTTTATTTATTTATTTATTCATTTTGAATATTTTAATTTATTAATTAATTAAGAATAAATTTCGGGACATTTCAAAAGCTAAGTTGAATTTAAATTATGGTTTGGTCAGCTGATGAGCAATCAGCCATCGAGTGAAAATTTTCCACCACCTTCATAAATTTTCTTTGGTTCAACATTTGTTGTGTAGCTATCATTCTAAGCCCTATTTCCTTGTCATTCACCAGCCGAAACTAGAAGGGGGAAGAAATACTAGATCTAATCATGAATCATATCTAGTCAAATTTGGTTGCTCATCCATAAAAATTTACTAGTTAAATAATCGTTTTGAATCAAGCTTATCTCAAATTAAAAAAAAATCCAACCTAACCCTAATTCAAGAGAAAAAGAATGTCCCATCTACTTTATTCAAATATCAAAATCAAATTTCTATTATTGACATACATATCTACTAATTTCTTTTAAGTACGTTTGACGTGTTTATCGCTTGGTACTCACTTCATCACATACGAAATCAACATTTGCCATTTTTTTTTTGTATAAATTTCTTCTAAGCAATCAATCATTCATTGGAGCATTTTATGCTGGCTTATACATAAATACATTCCGGATAAACGTAGAATTTTATGTAACGGGACGAACTTCTAAAATTATAGGAGAAACTAAATTTATAAAATTTTAAAGGAACGAAAATAAATTATAGTTTAAAATTTTGAAGGGAAATTGTCTCACCCACCCTGGTCCATCCATGCATGCATATGTCTAACTTTGAAAGTTAAACCGGGTCAAATAGTGGTTCTGTTTCATACATTTTGAAATATATACCAACAATCAGTGGGAAACTCGTCGAAGCTTTTCAATGCACGAGAATGTCACGCGTAAAATGTATGGTAACTGCTGAGACTTTTCTGAAAGAAAAAAAGGGTTTGAATTTGGTACATATAAGTGCCCAAAACAGTGTCGCTATTAAATAAATCCGTGCTATCCGGGTCAACCCTGATTTTCAGATTTATCACTGTTTTCTCTCACGAGAAACTTCAGTCAGTAACTCCAGAAAGCAGTTTCAATCGGATAAGTCACAAACATAGAACTGAAACTCGACAAAATAATAAAAAAGTGGGCCCAAAAACATGACATAGCATGAACGACGAAGGAAGGAGGAAACCGTGAACAAGGATGTCAGACTTACACGTCTCGAAAATCCAGAAGGGAAAACGAAGAGGGTAAACCAAAGCAAAAGTCGTTTCACGTGGATCCCTCCATGAAAGGGTATATCATCGGTGTTGGAGGAAACCCGCCAACACCGCCCGATGTTTTTTTTTTACTTCTAGCCTTTTACCTCAATTTACCTCTCCTTATGTCTTGTCGGCTTCCCACCCTCATGAACATAATCAGTGTGTCACGGGGGAAAAAAATGAAAACATCAATATTAATTTTACCATATCTTTTATCTCTATATAAGTTTGTCAATTTAATGGTGAATTATTGGGAAAAGTGGAAAAGTGGATCACTCTGTTCAGTAATCACTGGCTTTTGGTCATAGTAATTACAAAGCAAAAAGGAAAGTGTGAAATCCATAAGAAGACAAAAGAAAGTACGATCGTTATTTTTAAGGAATGTTTTTAATATAATTTTTACTTTTAATTTATTTTATTCTTGAATAGACGAATACTTAATACTTATATGTTTAATTTTATACATTTTATAAAATGTGATCAAATTTAATTTATTTCACGTTTTAATGGATATTTTAAAATTATGTAAAATTGATATTACATTTAATTTAAAACAATGACGTTTTTAATTAGATAACTTGGAGTAATGAGTGTACAATATTCAAGCCCCTTATCAAGTAGTTTAAGCAATATATTTTTTATAATTAGTTTAAGCAATAGTTTAGTGTTGATGACCTAACCATGTAGCATGACCACAAATATTTTAATTTAGTGTGCTCTAACCCACAAGTCTAATGAGAAAACAAGGAAATGAGTTTGATGAAATTTTTCTCAATAATTGAATGTTTACATCGTAATAATCTTAATTTGATGGAGCTAGAAAAATGATAATCAGTGACATGACAAGTGAATTGAAAACATGCATGTTTTTGCCACCTTTCACTTTTAAATGTGCTTTATAAAGAATAAAAGAAAATTTTGAACTAGAAAACAAAAGACGTCGTAAAGGTGAAAGGGGAAATTAGAGTGATTTCTTTTCACCTAATTTCAATTGAGGAGTCAGTAAAACAAATATCATAGTGTTTTCCATTTTATTGAAAAGATTGCCCTTGTTAGAATTCAATAATGATTAAAATTCTTTAAATAGAAATAAATAAATAAAAGAGTAAAAAAGAGAGATGCTGAAGGATGTTGGATATCACTGGCTATGTAGGCCACAAAATTAATATGGTTGGGTGAACTTAGGGTACTTGTTTTTTTATCCCTAATAGTACTTGGCATAGGTGCTAGGTAGGCCTTCAACTCAAGAAAATAAACACACACAGAACAAAGAGAAATAGTAGCTATTTGGTAGGTGGCCACTTCCATTTGAGATGATATTCTTTAGGTTCAAAGAATAGATAAAAAGTAAAGGAATGAGTGAAGGAAGCCAGAGCCTAGAAATCAAATATATCAAGAGTGCCCATTTTTAAATTTAATTAAAGAGGGTTGCCAGAGAACACGAGATGAATAATTGTCCCCACTTACTAAATGAACAATAATGCTTCCTCAAGATTCTCCCCTCTCAACTCACCCATAGCTTTATTCTTTCTATTTCATTGCAAAGCTGCTTTTGATTCATCGTAACATATTTTTTTTTTCTTTCTTCCTATCAAAATTTCAGGATTTTACTGCTAAAAACAACATAGGATAATACTGAAGACGCTTTTTCACCATTCTCAATGATAACAAAAGTGTAAAACGTTCAGAATTAACACAAAAAATTTAAAGAATAAGACGAAACGGATGAAACCGTTTTTCTATGAACCATTTCTATTTGCAGTTCCTTTTTTTTTTGTCACTAACAACTCTAACAAAGAAAGAGTTTTGTTTATGACATGTTAACATGAACACTGGCATTGGTAATAGAATCACAAACAGGGCAGTTGCCTACCAGAGTGGACCCACAAGCTGTACAGAGACAAAGATGCCTGCATGGCAGCAACAGCACACTCGACTCCCTCTCCCCGCACTTCTTACACTCCCTATTATTGTTCCCCACCGCCGCACAACCACCACCACCGCTCGCTTGTGGTTGAGGTGGCACCACCTTACGCCACCCTTCATCGCTGCTGCCACAGCTAGACTCAGCATCGTCCGCCAATGCGGGTGCTGCTCCGCTGCTCATGCGGCGTTCCTCGCTAACGTGCGCCAGGACTTGTTCTAAATTGGTGCGCAGGGATTTGGCAGTGGCTTCGTTCGTTTGTGCCATGTCTCTCCACAGTTGGTTCTCCACGTACAGGCTTTTAACCCTTTCTTGAAGAATCCAGTTTAGTTTCCCAATCTTTTGCACTTCTTCATCCTTTTCCATTAGTTTCTTCATTGCCCCTTCTTGGATTGCTGTAATCAACATTCTCGATTGCATCTTTCTTCTTTCTTCAAGTTCAAATCTCATTTTTTCAGTCTGTAATTAATGCAAAATTCAATCAATAAATTGCCGTGTTAATTGAGCATTAAAGAAAGCAAAGAAAAGGAGGTTTTCCCATTCATTGAAACAGCTGAAATAACAAGAGTTGGCTTTTTAAGGAAACTTACGTGTTCGACAATGAAACGCTCAATTTCTTGTTCTTGTAGTTGGATCTGGGAGAGCACGTCGTCATCAAGAAGAGAGGAAAAACCAGAGAGTTTGCTCTTTTGAGAGACGGGATATGATTCAAGGCCATTGATGAATGAATCTCTTGGCCTTTTTCCTGGTGCTGAGACGGGGATGTTCATATTATAGGTAAGGCCGCTATCAGCTTTGTTGATTGAAGTTTTGGCTGAAATCGGATCACAAACAAGGGGTTGATATAATTGAAGAGCCTGTGAATCTTGTTGCATTGAATCAACCAAAGGAACACAAGTATCCATCTGGGTATTGCCACTCCCTTGATTCGTTTTCATAAAACCTCTGTTACAAACAAAATCCCATATAAAAAACGAAAAATAAAGAAAGAAGCTTGAAAACAAATGAAACCCATTTCTAGAAGACGAACCTGTTGGTGATTAACTGAGGAGGGAAAGGATTCATATGCGGAGCTTCAACTGCCATTGCATAAAAAGCTAAGTTGTGGGGTATATTTATTCTTTGCTTCAAGGTAAATTGTTTTGGGAATAATATAGAGGGATACAAGGGGTGGAGAGAGGGGAAAAGAAAGAGAGAGTCTTTGGCTTTGAAGCAGGAGAGAATAAGGGGGAAAAGAGACGAGTTTGCAAAACAAATAAAGATAAACACAGATATAGGTGGCGACTGGTTTTGAGAGAAAGTCGAACAAGACTCTGTTTATAATAAATAAAAAAGGGGAGGGAATCAAATTACTATATATGTTGTACACACAAAAAAAAAATTCTAGCAAAACTTGGGGTGGCAGCTTTTGTCTCTAGATTTGGTTACTATTTAAATTCTTCCCTTTTTAGGTGATTATTTTATTTTATTTATTTTTACGTTAATTTCCCTTTTTTTCCTTTTTTGACCCGTGCTTGTCTAGGTAAAAATGTGGTCTAGAAGGGGTAATAAGGGAATATCTCGTCTCCCTTTCGGGTCTGTCAAACGTGGGATTTTATTGTCTTCTAAAAAAAATATCTCAAAAACGACGTCGCTTTGATTTTTTCCGTAACTGACATGCGGCATATCTGCCACGTTTCAGCTACATGGAGTTGTTCCGCGTAAGCCAATCACTACGGTTCAAGCACCCCACCCCCCTATAAACAAAACCGGTGAAGGCCCGTTGTGAACGTGACCAGGTAATGGACCCCGCTATCTTATCGCACGTGCGAAGTGCCGGATTTTTTCCTTTTTCTTTTTTTAAATATTTGTAATAATATCAAAATTTAAACAAGTTTTCATTGAAAAAAGAGATGATTCCCCGTTGTGGTCCCAGATACGGTTTCTTTCTTTCCTTCAGCTGTTGTCTCTGTACGGACAAATAAATAAGCACCGTCGGCAGTGAATACAGAAGTAGTCTATTGTAGAACTCCGTTCTTATAATTTAGGGGAAATTATCAAATGCAACACCTTTAGGGTGCGTTTGGTTCACGAAATGTAAGATTATCAGTGAGAATAAAATATTAACAAGGAATAGGATTACTGAGAATGTTGTATTTTGTGTTTGGTTGGTTTAGCAGAAATATAAAATTACCGTGTTTGGTTTAAGGAATAAAAGATTATTGAAATGTATATTTGATCAAATTGTCCTTATTATATATTTGTATAATATTACAAATTGTAAAATATTTATATATTTTCTTTAAAAAATTAAATTCATAATATTTATATAATTTTTTTTTACAAAATTAAAAATATAAAAAAGGTTTAATTAAAGGGTAAATTTTTTTTAACCCCTGAATTTCATATAAAATTTTAATTATAGATTTTTTTTGTAAATCTAAAATAATTTAAGGATAAATTTGTAATTTAACATTCGTAGAATTTTTATTATTCAATGAAAGAAGAATAATATTTTTGAAAAAAAAAATTAAAGGCATTTTTAGTCTAAAACGACGGTAATGTTACAATACTTAAGGGAAGGGAGGTAATGACATTCCCGGTAATATACCCTAAAAAATCTACTATTTGTAATAAAACATTACTGAGAATGAGATTCCCGACCAACCAAACATGAGAATGTGGGGTTCCCATCCCATGGGAATCCCACAATCTTTGAACCAAACACCTCTTAATGTATAGTTAAGGAAATTTGTTATCGATTTTATTATTATTTTTTAATAAATTTGGTAAAAAATTATTTAAAAATTATTAATTTTACTTAAAATATTAATATTTTTTTAATATTTCTAATAAAGTGCACAATAATAACAAAATCGATAAAAAAATAATGTTTTAGGAAATGCTTTACCGAATATGTTAACAAAATCGATAAAACGCCTAATAATAATAAAATCGATAAAAAATAATATTTCTAATAATTTTTTACTGATTTTGTTACAAAATAATAACAAAACATATAACACATTTTCTTAGTAATATATTAAGGCTGTCACACATTATTACAATTTGGTTTTTTTTTCTTTTAAGATTTACTTTTTCCTTTTAAGATTCAATTATTAATTATATAAGTTTATTTCTTCAATTCTATTATTAATATTTTCCTTTCATTGTTTTAGAGAACGAAACGTAGGTTTTATTCTTTAAAAAAACGTCAATTTTATGAATTAAGTTTCTAAAATTAAAGTTACGTTATTATCAATTGAATTATTAGTTTATTAGTTTATAAATTTTTATAATTTATATTTACAGTTTATGATTGTCAATTCTAATAACATTATTTTTATAATTTTAATTATAATTTTTTTCATGCAAAGTGTATGAATTTTTTTTATAAATAAAACATGTTTAGATATATAGTAATAAAAGAAATAGTTTTACTTATCTCTGATCTGTGCAATATAATAGTATTGCGCGAAATTGTTTTTCTTAAAAATAATAAAAGTGTAAATTTGATTAAATCAGTTAATTGAAATTGAGATTTGGATGATAATTACGATAATCACATAGTTTAGTCAACCATTTATTCATATATGCATGCATTGGCTAAACTGGCAATTAGTGCAATAATTGCCACGTGTCTCGTTGTTTTTGCTTACTTGGTGGCTAATTAATTAAAAACTTAAATATAGGTAGGTAATTAAAATCAAGGCTCGTATGGTAATTATATTGCCATCCTTATCTAATAAATGAAAAACGTTTTATCTTCAATATGGACAACGAAACAAATTTTGTGTGACGAGTCATTAGGAGTTCAATTGCCTTTGCATGACACAGTTAGGAGTAAGATTGACTTTTTAAACTTTATACGTGGATTATGTAGTATAATTTTTTAAAATTTAAAATTTACATTTTTATACGTGATTTTTCTAAAATAATATAATTTAAAGAAAAATAAAAAAAAAATGAACCGAGTGCCCGAAATTAACAAATCAAGACACAAGTCGACATTTTAATACCTGAAAATATAAATACCCAATTTTGAACACCGTTAAAAAGTAACCTACTAAGTTACTTTAATTGCATTAATCTCAGATACATAAAATAAGAAACATTGAAAGTTTGTTTTTATGATTGTAGGTTATATTTCAAATGCATAAACATAAATTTAATCTCTAAAGTTTGTCTTTATCATTTTAGTTATATTCTTAGTCAATTTTAACCCTTAATTTTTTATAATAATAATAATAATATATATCTTTTTATTAAAAATATGACTTAATCAGTAAATTGTTAATATTATTGGCATGAAATCTCATATGGTCATTCATGCTCACTTCATAGATTAAAAAAAAGTTTTAATATTTTTATTCTTTTAAGAGTTTTTATAGTTTTAAATTGTTTAATGACATCACATATAATACAAATAACTTTATATTAATATTAATTAGATGTAAATTATTATTTGAGTTGTCAATTAAAATTTTAATTAATATTTTGTTTTGAAAATGTTCTGATTTTATTTTAGGAAAATTAAAAGTAAAATATAACTAAAAATTCAAAGTTAATTGAGTAAAAAATGTAAATATTAACCACTTAATTTGTCTCAACACCAAGAAAAGGGGAATGTACCATATGTTGATCGTGAAAATGCTATCAAATCGTCAATATTTGGTATTTTCATTATATCAATGATTAAATGATATTGATTTTCATAAATAACATTTTAAGAATATGTAAACTATCACATATTAATATATAAAGTTTAACCAAAGAAAAAGAAAATGCAATTCATGAAATGAATAATTGAAGATAAGGAGGATTGAGCATATAAATTCATCTCAAACAGTTGACGTCCTCAATAATTCAACCTCATTATGACTTAGTTTGTGATTATAACTATCCATTAAAATTAAGGATCATTGTCTAATATGGTCTGTAATCGATTACTACTAGACCCTAATTTTCTAAAAGTAATTTGGGTGCACTTGCATTTGCCGACC